GAGCCGGCCAGGCCAGATCCCTCGCCGTCTGGCCGGCTCTTTCTCCGGTCGATAGGCGGTCCTTCCCGCCCCACACCCGGGTCAGCTTGCCCGTGGAAATCAAGAGTAGAGTTGGCCTAGTAGGTCTGCTTTGATGGCAACGAGCATAGCGTCCGAGATTTCGTCTTAGCGATTTCATCGCCGCGATGAAAACGCGGCGACGAACTCGTCGCTCGTGCATGGACATAGTGCTTGCGATTTCTTATCTTTGCACACACGGGCAGGTGCACGCAAACTAAGCAGACTGTTCCCGTGCGATATGCGTTATTAGACTCACTTCATTCTCATCATAGAGCCCTCGTGTCGATCGTGAAGAAATCGAGTACAAAAAAATCTCACATTTTGCCCAACTTTCAATAAATGCAATTTTCACGAGCTTACCAGTTCTGAGCATAGTAAATCTCACCTGGGAACGTCGGCTTTGCGAGACAACAGCTGCTATTGAAAACTCTTCACAGATTTTTAGATGGAACAAACTAGTACCTGGATCTTGTAGTGCTTTAGCAAAGACCACATTGAACGCCTCTTAAAAAAGTCAAGCACAGAATCACTGCGAAGATAAAAAAGCAAAAAGCATTACCGTTTGAAGTTGGTGCACTAGTAAGAACGAGAATTCTTCTGTATTGAGGATAGCGAAACGTAAGACTATACAAACAAGCATATGATAATTATTAGCTTTCCGAAAAGTGAAGCCTTAACACAAAAATCACCCACAAAACACTCCAAAAAACCATCTCATCAAAAATGCTTACACTTTCGAAAAAGAAGTCATCCGACAATTTGAAGTTAGGGAAAGGCGTCGAAACTAGAAGTATGTTTGTACAATCACTTCGAACAAATTCTGCTTCTTTTTCAAACAAAAACGAGGTGTAACAATGCATGCGTACAAAAAAAATCTAAAGATGTCCATCGCACCTCAGAGATATCGCCCAATCGCCTGTGCAGCTATCGCTACGCGACATCGCTGAGTGTTGCCGAAATCGCGACGATTATCGCTGCAGAACTATGCCCCTAGCCAAAAAGGGTCTGCGATCCGTCGCGCCAGACGATTACCACAACTGCCGTAGCAGACACGAGGACATGAAATTAGTGCGTAACAGTCGCCGTTTTACAGAAATCGCAGCGCGACGGAATTGTGTACACTATGCCCTAGGCCTAAAGGAGAAACATTTTTATTACTCAATCAGCAAAAAGAAGAGAAATAAACCCTACACATTGGATTCCGCTTACGGCGCCGGGTGGTAGCAAGAACGATGTCAGGGTCCTTCGGGCCCTTTTAGATCGGACAAAGACGACACGCCTGCCCGGACGACACGCCAAGGAGACTGCCTCATGCTCTGCACGTACAACGCCATCGTCCATCTTGTCGATGCATGAGATCCTGTCACTTCGACTAGCCATCCTAAACTAACTACGACCTCCATGTCAGAAGACAGTCAGCATCATCAACTGCTATCTCCAACATCACCAGCTGACGACTCAGAACTGGATGCTTTCTACGAAGACGTGGAGGAGGTCGTCCGCAACGAAAAGTCCTTCTACAAATATATTGTGGGCGACTTCAATGCGGAAATCGGGATGCCATTAGAAAAGGAATATAGGATCGGGAAGTTTGGATATGGGCTCCGACACGAAAACGGCAACCGTCTCGTTGGGCTTCTCTCCGCCGCACGACGTTTCCATGGAAACTCCATCTTCATAAAGAAAGAATCGCCGATGGACATGGGATTTGCCCAAAGGAACGACTCACGGGGAGATCGACCATATTCTCATCAACCGAAGGTGGAGCTTGCTCGATGTCTCTGTAGTTCCATCCTTCTGCAGTGCCACGATTCAGTCGAAAGCTGGAAAAGAGGTCTGCCACAGTGCTGCAAGAAGGAAGAATGTGTTTATGACGGTAACAGGCTGGAAGAGCTCATATCAAGTTGTGACTGGCCCATCGAGGAGGACCCAACGTACGACTACGACCGGCTATTGAAAGGATGTGGAGAGTGTGAATCAGTGACTTCTGAAAAGAACTTGGAACTTATTACCAAGGCCACCAAGGAAATGCTCGAAGAGAAGATTTCTGAGACAGGACCGAATGCAAGCCATCTCGAGCGACTGATAGCCAACGCCAGTTGCAGAAGAGCTTTGCAGGAGGATCTCAGGAAGTACAGGCAAGCCAAGATACTGGAAGCTGCTGAAGGAAGACGAAGTCTCATGAAGTGCCGAAGGGACCTTTGTGAATATCACGTACCATTGGCTGCACTATCAAACGAAGACGGGACTCCGACTTCTTCCCGATTCAAGATGGAATCTATCGCAAAGAACTTTTACACCAATCTCTTTCGCGCATCAACACCCGTGCTGATGCCCGTTGTTTCCACCGGAGAGTATTACCAAGGATTCTACCTGCTAAAGTGCGCACGGCGATTTTGACCATAAAGACATCCACGGCTTGGACCAGACCATCTCTCAGGCAAATCACTGGGAGCCGGAGGACAACGTCTACACGAGATCGCGTCGCTTCTGACATCTTACCTTGAAAAGGAGAGGATTCCCGATCAGTGGAGAACGTCAAGGACCGTCCTTCTCTTCGAGAAGGGTGAAGGGGAGGATTTTCGGAATTACCGTCCGATATGCCTGAGTGTGGTGTACAAACTTTCACGAATATTATCCTCGCTCGCATATTTAGGACACTGGATGAAGCTCAACCCCAAGAACTAGCTGGATTTCGCAAGGGATTCAGTTGCATGGACCACATCCAGACGGTTTTGAGGGTCATACAAGCCTGTTGGGAACACCGACTGCCTCTCGTCCTAACCTTCGTCAACTACGAGAAAGCCTTCGACACCGTATAAACGTCAAGGAGTGGAGCCAGCTTACGTGCGGACGTTAGCCGACTGCTACAAGGACTGTACAACGATGTTGCAGCTATTCCCTCGCCCCCCTGACATCCCAACTGGAAAGGGTTTCCGAAAAGCTTTCCCTGAAAAGCTCTAGTTTGTGAGGGCGTCACATTTTCAAATGTATGCAACTGGATTGTAATAATTACAAGTATTGCTCTTTTGTCTTTAGCAAGCATATAATTCCATTTTGAACAAAAATTCTTGAAGATGAATATATACAAGAGTTCAGAGAAAGCGGGCTTTCAAATACCGAGGAAATGTATCCAAGAAACGGGCTTACATCGAAAAGTAGCGTTTGTAGGAAGAGGAAAACGTGCGTTAGTTATGAAATAATTTGATAGGTTATCTAAAGTTGCTTCTGTGGTTGCTCCACTGCCGTGCTATGGCAAGCGAGGGCGTACCACAGGGGTGGCAAGAATACCATTTCTGAATGAAAAGGCGGTTATTTATAAGCAGGAGCGAGAAACGGGGCAGCGCGGGACTGACTATCAGGACCCACCGCGCGACGGGCAGTGGAGTACTCGAAAAGATCGCGCAATCCACGACACTCTGGACGGCAGAAAAAGGTTGCGAGGTAGTCATCAAATTCACCGTTTTAATCTATGAATCTCCAATGTTACCTATAACTCTACGAGTTAGATATACAAATGGACTACGAGTAAAAAATAACCGTAATTGCGCGCCAGCCTACTTTATGTCGTGGTAACAGCCGGTTTCTCGCGAGATGGCTGAAGAGTCGTCGGGACCTCTGTCGGGACTTCTGGTGGGTTTCCGGCAGTCGAGGAGGCAACACTTGCGTTGACAACATCTATATTGGCAACGATGAATGAAGTTGTGACGTCGGGATCTAAACCAATTGACCATGACAAGACGTTGACCTGAATCTTTTTAGTGAGGTCAAATAACCTAAATTTTTGCCACAACTGTCTTTTACTTGAGCCTTACGTAGCCTTACGCCATATCACTACCATTAACAAGTAGTTGACTGCGTCGATAACAATGCTTACGAGAAGCTTGTGGACTTCTTTGCGTGAATTAACTTTGTTTCTTAGCATTCAGCAGTAAGCACTTTAGCTTGTTCAAAATACGTGCCAAGTAAGGGTGCCTTCATACCGCGCCGGCAGCCCCCGCTAGCAGCCCGTAGCAGCCAGCAGCCCGTAGCAGCCGCCAGCACCCGTAGCAGCCGCCAGCAGCCCGTAGCAGCCCGTAGCCGCCGCTTTCGTTATATAAGCAAAATTATCAGAATCTCACTACTTTGAGTGCTCCTGCTTACGCTTTTCATTATCTACGCTTTTTCCTTTGTTGGCGTCAGTATGCAGTTTGATCACATATCATATATGTGTCCATTGTTGTCATTATCTTCTCGCCGTATGGTCATCCTGTTTAATCATAGTTCGCAGAAGATTCTTTCCGGTGTAATTCGCCCTGCCTTTGGATGCGTCCGGTTCCTGCAAGTGTGCAATTTGTTTTTGAGTATGCTTTTGCTCAATTTTTTGTCGGTTATCGGTGCATATCTAACTTGCATTTTACTATTTCGCAAGTTCGCCGCAATTCATTTGCGGGTTGAGTTCTTCTGGCTTTGATTGTCACTCACAATCGTTTTAAATAAGACGGATTGCAAAAGAATGTGAGCGCGATAGGATACAATGTGCGGAACAGAACAATGAACACAAATGTGCTGTGGGGGGGGGGGGGGGGGTTGAACTGCATATTAGCGGTAATAAGAAGGAATAAGCGTAGAAGATGAAAAGCGAAGACATGAGCACTCAAAGCAGTAAGATTCTGACGATTTTGCTCCTATAACAAAGGCGGCCAGCGGCGGCTATGGGCTGCTGGCGGCTGCTACGGCTGCTAACGGTGGCTGCCGGCGCGGTATGAAGGCACCCTAAGGTCACAAAAAATTCATAAATACAAAAGCACACTATACATTTCACACTACCCGCAAGTACCATTCGTCACTAATCCATTGAAGGGCGTTTGTATGTGAAATTACTCATAAACGCAAAGTAACGAATTTTACTTACGCTGGTGTACTTGTTGAACCAGATAGGTTCTTTGTTTGAGCCGTAAATGTGCCGGAAGTATACTAAACCAAAGGAAGTCAAATTTCAGGTATTTTCATCGTTCTTTTTGTCAGATTCACCGTATCAGCAGCAGCATCTCATCATACGCTTGAAGTGAGAAGTAAATTTTTTAAATAAACAAACATAATGTGATTCTTCAAAATTATTTTATCAAAAAAGGAGTTTTGCCAGCAATTATATGCGTTGTTGCGTGTTATGCGTGTATTTTAAGCTTCAAACCATTCTATCTTCGCGCTCCGCCATTGGAAAGCATCAATCGGAGCACATCAAGTTGAATTTGCCATTTTCTATGCATTATTAACAACTTTTCAAAACTATTGCCGTCTTTTTATTTCAGAAATCGAGTATGCTATAGAATGGAATATCAGAAATGCCCGTAAGGGATTCGATTCACCTTGCAAAAAAGATTATACTACGGCATATGCTAAATTCAATGCACAATTGCAATGGCGATGCGTTGCGGTAAGCATAGTTGGCATAGCTTTTGCATTTTGAAGAAAGCAAAATAACGATGCTGCTCTAATCAAATTTTGTAGAACATGTCCACCATTTGTGCGAACTGTACTGCGTACATAAAAGTACCAAGTCTTTTAAAGCTTTTCGCTTTCCAAGGTATCGCATCTTGCGTACGGAGTTGTCAAACGCGTTTCACCGTGCGCTTCGTGTGGAGTTGTGCGAGTGTAGACCAAGGCTAACCACCCATTAATTGTTTAAGACTTCTTAGAAAGTTCCATTTTGTCTAAGGTTGCATAAACTATACATGTTTAAAGCAGACAGGACTATAGGCAATTGCTTCAACTTTTGAAAGGATTTTAAGATTTTTTGAAGTTAATTTTTGGAAATCTCGGTTTGCATGCAATTGTGTATCAAGAAAACACAGATGAATTTATGGAGTATGGCAAATTTAGAGCATTATTACTATGTGTTTATAATCAAAAACTTGCTACTATTTTTTGAGTTAAAAGAAGTCGTTTTTGAATGTGCAGCTTTTCATTGCATATAAACAACAGATTGCTTTCTAAACTAGGTGGGATACCCGGCTTCGCTCGACCCTGTCATCATTATGATTAAGTCGTCATTTCATTTCATTTCATTTCATTTGTACGCTCAAGGCGTTCCATAAAAAAAGACACATTAAGAAGTTAGTAATACAGCGGAAACGAACAAGACATGTAAACAAATGCAGACATCATCATGTCAGTCCGAGTCTGATCCTAATCAGACTAATGTGAGAAGATAAAACAGCTTGCACTGAATATGTTGGTAGGCTAATAAATAAGTATGCAGATGTAGGCATGAGATTTATAACTCCAAAACTTTGAATCCATGGAGATGGGACGCATGCCCCCTCGTTGCCAGCGGAACGATCTTTAGTTACTCTTAAGAGCAATCCGGCGGCTTATAAGACAGGTCTACTGGCTCAGGTATAATAACCATAACCCAACCTAGCCGGAATGCTGGGGAGGCCCAATGACCCCAAAGGTGAAACAATTCTCATTGAATCCATTTGTCGAAATAGCAAGCTGTACGATTGACTACTAGATAGCTGAACGAAAAAGACTCGGACTGAGATGCTGAGGAAACTGTGTTAGTAACTAGAACAAAACGAGTCATGCCATACTTTCGTACATATTCTCAGTTCTAGTCCCAACTCTGTATGTATCTGTATGTCGATACCTGCCTACTATTCACTGTAGTCGCATGACTTACCCTTCCTCCCCCCCCCCCCCCCACCCCCCATCCTATGCCAACTCCCAACCCGTAGTCCAATTGCAAAAAAGTCAATAGGATTGGTAAAAGTGATGGATAATTCTGAAAAATGGTACTGCAATCGTAATCAGCGTGCTTACTTACCCTCCTGCACCAACTTTAACCCCGTTACACCATGAGTAAAATAAGAGTAACTGATAACTCCAGGAGTCAATATTTTACTTGCAATCAACATGCCCACTTAGCCTCCGCAACTCTCAGCCCATTAGCTCAAACTTTGCAAAGAATCAATAAAATCGATAGAGGTAATCGATAACTTCGAACAGTTACATTGTATTAGTAAGAAGCATGCTCACTTATCCCCTAGGTCAACTAGGAGCCTAGTTCAAGCTTTGCAAAAAATCGATAGTATTTATATCCGTCGTAGACGAAAAGTAGACTACGTAGCCGAAGCGTATGTGTGCAAAATTTGGGCAGGATCGGTTTAGAAATAAAAACCACCGTATACACATACATACAGACATCGATAGAGGCGTACATCACACATCCAGTTTTATATATAAGGTAGTGTCGTGTACAGGGCCCGACACAGATGGTCTGGGGACAAACTGGACTTCGTTTGTGAAGTTAGAAGCAACGGGAATATTGTTTTTATAATTTCTTAGGGAAAGCGCCGAAAAAAATGACGAATATGTCAGGTTTTACGAGTTGGAGGTGTTCTTTCGCAGGCGCGCGAATTTCAAACGAAAGGCTTAGACAAACAAATGGCTTGCTTACACGCACAAACCATCATATGGTTCCGAATTTGGGCTATGTGTATACAATATTACTCCAAACTATGTTATGTAAAAAGTTCCAAAGACTTATCTGTCTTAATATTATCTTCCCGTTTGCTGGTTTCTAGACCAAGCCAAACCAACTGGGTTGGTTCGGAACATAAATATCGGGAATTCACGTAAGTTTTGGAATCTATCATATAGTGAAGAGAACGAATCAAACCATTGCCTTTCCTTTTTTAAGACAAAACTAGTGTAAATCTACACCTTGATAGATATCGCGCTCCGGTCACATGCGGTGTCCTTTGAACTGGTGGCGAAAAATGCATCGGACTAGACTAACCACAGACTTGGTTGGCTTAGAAGGTTTTCGACATCTTTAGCACTAAAATGGTACCATACTCAATGACAAAGCCTTTGATCAACTCAGAATGTTGTCTTTTTGCTTTTTTATTATATTAGATACCTCAAAATGCGTTTTTTTTCTCGCTTTTTTATTGTTATTTTGATTGCCTAAGGTTTCCTACAAGGTTTCCTACTGATCTTTACGTCAAAAGGGACTTCGTAAATTTTTGCGAGGTCATGGGGTACTTCGTTTCCAAAAATGCTCCAAACTAACGCGTGCCGGGCCCTGATTTAGAATTTCAAAAAGATGTGCGGTGATGACTTTTGAGTAAAATCAAGGCTTCCTTTTCACGATGTTTTGCAACGTAAAAGGTCGACGGTGATAAATAAAGCAGCAGGATGCAGATGAGATCTTCATGCAGAGCACTACTGGATGATAAAGTGCAGCTATGCGAATGGAATAAAACAAAAAGAGAGCAACAACTATATATGACTGGACCTTCCGAACGAAGAACAAAATCAACATCAAATCAACACTGATTCTAATCCGGTCTAAGGTCTAAATAAACTAAATGAATAGGTTGTGATAAATCGTAAGTGTTTGACTTACCAATTAATGTAATTTAATCGAAACGGATTTCGAAGGTATTGGATAGATTACGAGAAAGCCGATAGTTGAGGTCGCGAAACAACACACTGAACCCAGAAATGTCCTGTCGATTTTAATTTGGCCACACAGCAAAGACTGCCGATGAATAGATTGTGATGCCAAACATTCACACTCTGTACGTACTTTGCCTGAGCGATTGCGGGGTGTCACGAACTGCAGCATACGATCGACAGCAGGGTGCCGTGAGGATCGACTGAGCATCACAAATCAGCAGTCGCTTTTTTCCGAGTCAATGGCATTGAACTGAAATACACCATGATCATTTGCGTAAACATCGATAAAAGTGTGAAAGCTAAACTAATAAAGGCAGTTATCGGTACATCGTGCCCCTCTTTTTTCAAAACTCGCACTACTGGCTATGACTTCCTTCTGAGAAATTCGGAACTCGTTAAATAATACGCCAAGAACTGCAAAATACATGTATATATACTTGATAAGATTTGTTTTTCTTCACGAAAAGACTAACTCTTGCTATCTCAGGGTTTCGCCAAAGTCAAGCACGCCGGATGCGACCTTCCCCCCCCCCCATCTTCTGTCTCAATGCCTCCCCCCCCCCCCCATCAGCATTATCGTAGGCATGACAAGGACATGCAGAGGCTCTACCATGCATAAATCGGCACACATTTGTAATCATCATCGTCAAAACCCCCCATGGGTCACGTTTTAGCAAATTCTGAGGATTCCCAATAGTGGAACACCCAAGTGAAGTTGTCATTTTCAAACGTGATTAACTGTTCAAAAATGAATTAGCTAAGACTTTTTGTATTCAGTACAAAGCACTACTCACAGTTTACCCATACCATGAATCCTGCCTCAAATAGTCATCAAATTATGGAACTAGAAGCGAGCCAAAATCTTATTTGTCCCACATTTCATTATTAATGACTGCGTTTTCACCAGCTTTTACTTAGAGCGAAGAAGATGAATCAGGCCCAAATTAGTTTTTTGAAAACTACGAGACTCAGGCTATCTAACCATATGTATTGTGTTCGCTAAAATTCTTTTCGGAGGCTCAATGGGGTGTGACACATCCCCAGAAAAGCTGTGGGTACCACAGCTTTTTAGGGGTTGTGCCTCACTCCATTGATTTACCTTCAAAGCATTCAAATCTCTGTCTTTTTTTATATTGTTGCTACTGCTAAATCTTCTTCTCCACATAGCAGGAATTTCATTCAAAATTTCATTCTCCTAGAGAAAGATATAGTTGTTCTTTCTTAGCAAATGAAAAATCTGCGAAAGTATTGGACTACGGTGATAAGTCTGCGACCAGCTAAGTCTGTGCTACTGTGAATCACGAGGAAAGGTTTCAAGAACAAATATATTCGATAACCTGATCCTCGTGATTTTCACAAAAGTGATTTGAGCCTGATTGGTCTTCTCTAGTTTGAGAAATTGAAAACGAAAAATGGGACAAACGATATTTTGGTTTGCTCATAATCCCAGAGTTTGGAGGTTAGTGTAAGTGGGATTCCTTATGCGACCAAAGAAGTAGTGGTGTTTTGTAATGAGTGCAAAGAGAAGTAGTCTACTCACCTTTGAAACAAAGTTAACATGTTCGGAAATGTCCACCTCACTTAAGCGTCCCAATGTTTAGAGACATCAAAATTCGCTAAAACTTGGCCCACAGGGGTTATTCGGCAGTTAATTACGAAAATGATGCTCTTATGCTTTTAGGATTCTTTTATTTTGCTTACTGTACGTGTACGACGGTAGACCAAAACATCAGTATCTAGTATCTTGCACGATGAGCCTATAAGAGATTGTTGACTGACATCATGTCGCTAACAGCACTGTTACCTTGATAACGAGGCCTCCCCTCTTTGTGACCCCTCTACGACCGTATAGGTGTGACGTGCCACACCCCACGCTTGTCCCTGGTTATGAGCGCACAAATATCAGAAATCTTTCGAGTTTCGATGAATTTCGATGAATACATTTCCTTGAAAGGCAGGATGATGGCA